ATGCTACATGAAGAATTTATTTAACCTCTGCTTTTTGCAGCAGGCCTACATAATGAAAAAACCCAAGCCTACTGTTTATTTTTTCCAATGTTTCTGGAATTTTTTTAAGTTGTCCAACTGCACTAACACACACAGCTTCAATTACCCAGAACTATATTTTAAGATAGAATGGAATAGAATAGCCCTTTATTGCCATTGTACATGTACAATGAAATTGAGGGTGCTCCACACCAACTGTGTAGGAATAAAATATAAATAGTAAGATCCTACAGACATTTGTGTCTGGCAGCAGCTCTTGCACCAGTACCTTGCAGCTCAAAATACCAGTGATTAGAAGTTATTTCTTTTTGTTTTAATTTGATTTTCTTTGAGAAACTGTTAACATTCCTATTTAGGTTGGAATACCTTGAATATTTAGGATACTGGTTAGTCTGAGAGAAAGATGGTGTTTTTATTGTTAAACATCACAATGACATCATGTTCAGATTCCACTAAATAAAAGCAATTCTTTTTTTCCATTTATCAGTCCCATTATTGATTTCTATATCTATTTACCACTAGTTTGTTATTTTGAAACATTATACATGCTGTTTATAAATCTAAAGCAAAGAGTGTCCTGCTATTTTGTCTTAGATGTAACTGAATAAATTTAACTAAAGTATTAACAAGCAAACCTAAAACAAACCCCATTATATTTCTTGCAGACCAAACACGGAGTTTTGTATTCAGCATTGCAACAAGCATTTAAATATGAAAGATTAAACTAATTCTTCTGCTAATTCTAACTGCTCAAACTTAGTGTACATAAACTTCACAAGACTGCAACAATCTTAAGACTGTCGAGTATCTTTACCTTTATTTTCTTTAAAAACTTTACAAGAAAGTGTTTCTTGTCCTCAAGTAGAAAACATGTCATTAGAAACAGGCTTACAGTATACTAGAGAAAATGAGAAATGGGTGAACCACAGTCTATTACATTACATTACAACATTAAGTTGTCTCTATACTCACATTCACTGTGAACATTTTGAGTCATTACCGTTTTATGCAGTCAAAGGGCATACAGTAAATACTGTAACATTTTAATCTGCAACCTGTTCATCAGCAAAGACAGTAATCTCTGAAAATCTCCTTTTCTAACTGACATCATAAAGTTCCCCGTAAGGTCATAACATTTGTCCCCAGTAGGAAAC